ACAGAGGAGAGATTATAATACTTGAAACAGCTTGCATCTGACTTACTGATTCAAATTTGATTGTTCCATAGATTCACTAAGCTTGCTGAACACACTAGTGTTTTCTCAGAGCTCTTCGGGAAAAAGGGATATTTTCCCTAAAATGTGAAATTTGCCACTTACCTCAAATAAAACTGGGGATATGGATTAAGACTTTTGTCAACTGGAAAGTGTTTAAAGAAGGTGCAAAGTGAATATAACACTGTGCATAACATGTTGGTGAGTATGCAATAGGTACAAAGCTGTTCTGGAATCATTTCATTGGTTGATGTTTACCTCAGTGGTTGGAGTTTTCCTTCCAAAGGCTTAACAGTCATCACCGGTAAATAAAAAGATTAAACATGCGCTTTCACTTTCAAATACTTAATGTAACTAAGATTATCTGGCTGACCTCTGAAACATCACTGGCATCGTAAACTCTGATCTGACTGAAATAATGTGTTGTTCATATGTATATGGATCTCACATACAATAAAATGCACCACATGACAAAGAAAAAGGCTCTATCATAAAAAAGTGAATGACAGGTATATGATGTTATGTTAGAAATAAACTTGGTGAAAAAACAGTTTAGCTGCAGTGACTGGATTGCTGTAGTAAAGCTGTAAACGGCTTAAGATTACTGAAACGTACTGTACAAAAACAAAATCAGGACTTTCTCCTGTGTATACAGACTGTTCAGTCTTAGCAGTCAGAAAGTAACTGTTGATCCTCATATCCCACCACTGTACACCAACAGCCATCCATCTTGCCTTGATATTAGACTATGCATGTCTGTACAGGCAGGCAACAAATGAAAGCAAAAATCAACATAAAGTGGCTTGGTAGTGTTGGGCCATCACAAGTCACAACACAGCCTAAGTGTTCACCTGGGTTGAGATCTGGCAACTGCGAAGGCCACTGCATATGATTCACACCACTTTCCTACTTGTCAACCCATTCAGTGCCCTATGGATGTAGAGACCGTCATCCTGGAAGAGACCACTCCCATCAGAATAGAAATTTGTCATCACAGGTTAAAGGTGATCACTGTGAACAACTTTGTATTGATTTACAGTGACTCTTCCCTCTAAGTGACCAAGTGGACCCACATTATTCCAACATCTGCATTCATTATGTTTCTCTACCCATTTATTCAGGTTTAATTTACCATCCATCTGTATCTTGGACCATGGAAATGGCGTGACTGTCCTCACAGTTTGTCTTGCCAAATATTTTTAACAGGAAACAGCTAAACCTCCTTGAAAGTTTGCTTGAAACTGTGTTGTCACAGCCTAATTTGCACATTATCAAATCAATCAATCAAATTTTATTTGTATAGTGCCAAATCACAACAAAAGTAATCTCAGGACACTTTACAAAGGAAGGTCTAGACCTTACTGTTATCACTATTATTACAGAGGGAAAACCCAACAAATCCCCCTTGAGCAAATAAGCAGTATTAACAAGCAACAAACAGTGCAAACAATGCAAAATAAGCAGTATAAACAGGCAGTAAACAGTGCAGACAAAGAAATGCTCATGGTGTAACAAGACAAATATGAATAAAAATAGAGCACTTAAAAATAGAGACCTTTATGTATCTGTATAATCTGTACAATGTATATTTACAGATATTGCACTGAGGGTTATTGTCCAGTCATACTGTCATTCTGTCCTGGGTCAAGTGTTCAAAATCAAATCAAATTTTATTTGTCTAGCACCAAATCACAATAAAAGTAATCTCAATACACTTTACAAAGTAAGGTCTAGACTCTAGACCTTACTGTTATCACTATTATTACAGAGGGAAAACCCAACAAATTCCCCTTGAGCAAGCACTTGGCAACAGTGGTGGGCCAAACCAGGAACTCAGTGAGACGAAGTGGACCACTTGAGTATATAAAAAATATAACCGTGCTGGTTTATTCAAAGGGTCACAGGCAAGAATTAACATTACACGTCCAGGCATCTTCCACCCCCAAAACTGCGCGCAGGCAGCCCGGAAGAAGAAGGACCCTGGACCAAGAAACCTATACAATATTAATCCTTCTGGGCTAGCCCCATCCTACACAGGCCACGTCAAACCGTGACGTCACCTGATATGCCAGCTTGCAGCTGACCATAACGTTAGTCAAAACATGAGGAAAAGTCAAGGTGTGTGGCTGTTGTTTTTGTGGTGTGTATCTAGAACAATTTGACATGACATTACACATTAAGACAAATATTAAGATTAGCATTACAGTTAATACTAACAGCTCTTTGCCTGCAACCTTGGCCTACATGCAGTCTGTAAGCACATGAAATTAAACTGAGCAGTTAACAGCCTGAGCTAGACATCCTGTCTCCACTAAACATTTCTAGACAACAAATCTCTGAATATCTATCTAACTAAGAAATAACCTAACAGCGGTCTGCCTCAACCGGTTTGGGTGAGTGGATAGAGGAGAGAGAAAAGAAGAAAAACTGAGCCAGGGATACCTGCAGAAAGGTATAGGGAGAGAGAGAGGACACACTACGGGAGAGAGGAGACACAAAGTTAGTGATGTGTAATGGTGGTATATAAAATGGTAAATGGACTGTATTTTATATAGCGCTTTTCTCACAGTGTGTTGCACTGGCCAGGGGAGGGTAGGGGAGGGGAGAAACTCAGCGCATCATGGGCCCCCCCAGCAGCCTAGGCCTATAGCAGCATAACTAAGGGAAGGCTCAGGGTCACCTGATCCAACCCTAACTATATGATTTATCAAGATTTACACACTGGCAGCTGGAGAAAGGAGTTCCTGGCCACACAAAGCCTAATACATTTCTTCAAGTTATGGGCTAACCCCTTCCCCAGATGAAGTCAGTCCGCAGACTCCATCTCTTATCTAGTACTCCAGCTGCATTTCTACCTAGTCATAACAAAATGAAGAATCTGTGTGTGTGTGTGTGTGTGTGTGTGTGTGTATGTTGTCACATGGTGTGTAGCTAAGCATTCATTCAGACATAATATTCTAACACAGGGTTAATACAGGAAAGAATTGGTGTCATAAGTAACTGTAGCTCACATTTCAGAGTCAACTTTCTGTCTGCTAACCTTGAAACAAAACATACTAGAGCAGGCTTCAAATATTACTAAACTGCACTACTAATATATTTGATTCAACACATTAATGCCTAATAATTATCTGACTGATTTACTAATATCTAAGTTTCTAGGTCGAAGACGTTTCACCTCTCATCCAAGAGGCTTCATCAGTTCTGCCTGACTGGTGTTGAGCCGGAGATATTTTTCTCCATCAGTGGTGTTTCAGTCTTCTGGGGAAGACGTCTTGTTGGTGGATTGTGTGGTCTTACAGATGTTTTGAGCTCTGCCCAAACATGCCCACCAGGACAATAGGCACCAGTTTACAGAGGAGGGTTCAAAGACAGGTAACGACGCTCACCGATACTGGGCTATAACGACCCAGTCATTAGGGGACATTGTTGGCCATCAAAGGACTGAAACACCACCGATGGATCTCCCTGCTGCCTTCGATACAGTGGACCATGGACTCCTCTTATCTCGTTTGGAGCAGTGCTTAGGAATTCAAGGTATTGTTCTTAACTGGTTCAGATCTTATCTCACCAATGGAAGTTTTACTGTTAATATTGGTACCTGTTTG